GTAAACTTAGCACCAATAATAGGGAGGTCGAAAAAGGCATTTTCTTCAATGAAGAGGTTAAACTTTCTCATTAACACATTGATAGGGTGCTCTGCTAAACACTCATCCGGCCACCTGATAAGGTTAAAATCTCCCCCAATTACCATAAGATAGGGAACAAAATGTACGATAGCGTGACAAATAAAAGCATCCTTCAAGGAGGAAGAATTAGGCCCATAAACACTCATAAACCCCATAGACAATCCAAAATAGCCCTAAAACCCAAAAACAAAAAGTTTTCTCTCACAATGGAATCAAAACAAAAAATAACAGTAGGATCTCATAGAATCCATAAACCCCATGAAGTACCTACTGCATCAATACCAGTAAAAGAGACTGCCCCACTACCCCAAACTTCCTTCACCCCCGCAAGAGTAGGGCTAGGAAATTTAGTTTTCTGCAAAGCCATAATTACAGGTTTAAACTTATAAACCAAAAATAAAACATCACGTCTTCTTCTGGGGTGACCCAAACCCCTAACATTCCAAGATAGAAAATTCATTAAAAATAAATGGGAGAGGAAGAAAAACCTGGTCCAGAAAGACCATCACTGAAATAAACATCTTCAAGCACCATCGAGTCAATAGCATCTCCAACAGACGAAGAAGACGAAGTCATTGATTCTGAGTCTATGTCCACCACTTCTGGATCATGAAAGGCAATAGCAGCAACAATATATCCTCCTTTTGGAACTCCATGTGCTTTCAATCTCGCGGAGGAACGAACTCGACGATGAAACACTTTTTTTTTCTTGCTTTTGTTCTTCAAAAAATATGTCGGAGTTTTATCATTTGTTTTCTCGGTATCTTCATTAGACAAGCCCTCACGATAGTCAACTACTTTTTTCACCTCTGTCTCTATCGGCTTCTTTTCTCTAGCAGCCTCCGCTTTAACTTTGCGAGTATTCCTAATACCCTCCATTAAGTGGAACTTCATCAAGTCCCATATCTACCAACAATTTCCCCACAAAAAGTGAGTCATCCAAAGTAGAACAAGTGGTTTCAGTGGCAATTTCATTCACCATAGCATCCTCAGGTGAAATGACCAGCTGCAACAGAGAGGTTGGCGTCTCCACCGACAGTGGCTCTGCCAGCGAAGAGGACTCTGCCTTCTCCCCAACCTCTGACTCCACTTGAGCACCATCACCAATCATCAACGGTTCCTCTAGTTCGATCACCATGATAGCAAGGGGATCAACTAGAACAGGGTTGAAGCTTGAGCGGGTTTTCTTGGCAGTAACAAGGCAAAAAGGAAGAGCGTGCATCTTCGCGCAAAGGATACCAATACAGAGAAGGAGGCACCAGCCTTTGCTGACTGATTTGTGGTGAGAAAGGAGGAAGAATAGAACTAAAGCCAGGGGAAGATTAGAAAGCGCTGAAGAAGGAGACCCCTTATCGCAATTTTCGTCAAAACAAAATGCCACTTGTATTCTGGTTCCTACCCCACCCCAATCATGCTGACAAGAAGGCATAAAATGCCCTCCCGAGGTTATCAAATATCTGTCATCCGCTGCCTTCTTTGGAGTAAGACCAAAACCAGGCTAAAAAAAAAGAGGTGGACCCTCTTGACCACAGAAGCCTTTCAACACTAGGCCCATCCGAAAAAGAGTCCAAAAATTGACTTTGCTAACTCTTAATAGGAAACTTACCATTGTCTTTATTTGCAACATTCAGTAACCGCTGATTACTAAAACCATATGAAAATCCCTCTGTGTAATCCGGAATCTAACCACCTCGATCCATTGTTTTTGAAATTTTTGGCGTTACATGAGATTCAAATTGGAAATTCCTAGCCTTACGCCAAGCCTTTCTCTGAGGAACTGAAATTTTATGATAACTAGGCACCGACGGTCTCCCAAATTTCGATGATTGGCTCCAAAGCTTACCCTTCTCCAATACCATAGGTAACTCTGAGTTGTCTTCTCCTTGAGCTTTACTAGCGATACCTTCACAAACCACTCCAATCTCAAAGGTATCTTTTCCAACAGAGAGGCAAACTTTCTGAGGTATAGCCACACCAACAAGCTTCAAAACTATAACCCATACCGTCTTGCAGGCCGGGCTCAATAATGAATCCCAATCTAAATCCACATATCCTCCCAGAGAGTCTGCAATCTTTTTTAAAATAGTCAAATTCCAAGCATGCAAAGGTACGCCATTAAGACTCAACGAAAGAGATTCCTTCTGAATGAAGGAATTGTGGTCAGAAGGCTTCCAAAGATCCAACGATAGAAGGCTCCCACGTAGTCTACAGAAACGATTACAAAGAGCTTTACTAACCTCATCCTTAGACCGAAGTTTTAAAACAATTTTGTTCTCGCCTATGATTTTCACATCAGGAGAGTATGACAAACACCATTCTCTTTTAGCCCAGTCCGACAAACCAAAGAATTTGTGATAGGTGGGGAGAAGGACCCAGTGATAAAAAAGTTAGATCTAATATCCAGCTTATCCCATTCATTACTCAAAATCCAAACTGAAAAATAGAGAGAACTATCCACAGATCCTATCATCCCTTGAAACAATTACACTTCTCTCTCTCAGTCGCAGATCAAGGAAGAGGAAAAATTGATGAAGATGACCAACGACCATTGGCCCATCACTTTGTTACATCCTATAAAATTATGCGAGTTTCTTGTTCACCATCACCACATCCACGGTTAGGGTTTCACTCGTGAACCCTAATCCTTCTTTTTTGAAAGAAACCCTAACCCTTCCTTTTTGAAAGAAGTCAAGATTAACCACTCTCTCCTCTCTCTCAATGCAAATAGAACGAGTATCACGTGCTTATTTCTATAAATAAGGTTGCAACTTTATACCAACTGCACCCTTAAAAAAAACATAAATACCCTAACTTGAATAAATACCCTAGCTTGACGAGGTTGTTGAATTCAACATATTATTTAGAAGTTTTTCCGCTAGTTGGTAACGGAGTCCAACCATTTGTATAGGTACTTTTTCACTTTAATATGCAAACTACTCGAACACTTAATGTGAAACTCGTAATGAAACTCTTGGATAGCAAACATTATTTACAGCAAACATAATTTCGATTTTTTGTTGAGCTCAAAGGATTGTTTCTTACATTTCGCAACTAGAATATTATCTTCTTTTTCGTAATTGATTATTAACGTTTGAATATCTTTTGGGCTGTTGTCAATATGTTTCTCACTAAGATTAACATTTTCATGGTATCTATATATTCGAGTTGCTTCTTCATTTGATCTTGAAGGTTGGGACTTGATGCCAAATTTACTAGATTACGCGCACCTTCTTCACACTGATCAATATTTTTTGTTTATTATTTTTTTTGAATGCTCACTAATCAATATTTTTTAATCCTCACAATTGTTGATTTATTCCACCAATCTCCTCGAAATTTGTAGATCTCGACTTGAATACCTTACATGAGTTGATTTATGCACTTGTTGATTCACAGACTGTAATTTGTGATGGCATCAATAGTAAGAGTGAGTTTTGCTACAATTGTGATGGATGTAATAATGATTAATATAAAGAGGGAGAAGAAAAACAATAAAATAAATCAGAAACTTAAAAATATAAATAAGTGAGACTTTACCCTCTAGAGATTCCCAAGGATGTCCTCACTAAAAAAGATATTTTCAAAACACCAAAGCTAAAATCTTATTTTCTTCTCTTCTCTTTTCTTGTCCAATACATATTTATAGAAAAAAACCTTCAAATGTAACTTGCTCTTTAAAGAACCTAATCAATATTAAATCTTAACTTCTCATTTTTTTTTTAAAAAAACCTTCAAATGTAACTTGCTCTTTAAAGAACCTAATCAATATTAAATCTTAACTTCTCATTTTTTTTAAAAAGGTGCAGTTTGCATACAAACACATCCGAAGGTGTAGAGGAGGTAAGGTGCACTTTCAAATTTTATCATGGCATATAATTTTGATGTAAAATGTTCTTAGGATTATCTCAAAATCTATTTTTATATCTAATTATAAAATTTTAAATTTTACAAATGGTTAAAATCAAGTAGATCTATAAACTTATGAAAATTTTGAAAATGAACAGTGTAGATAATATATGTTGTAAAATGCACTACTTCTTAAACTTAAAATCTTTTTATTTTTCATAGTCATACATCTCGATGTCGAGATGATCAATCAAAGAGTTTTTCAACATTAAAACTACATTTTCCAATGGATTATTGAAGGGCATCCGTAGTTCTATATTATAAGGTACCATCCTTATATAAACTTTTTCCTTCAAAAAATTCAAATTCCAACTCAGTTCTCTATAACTGAACAGCCACAAATACCATAACTTAAACCACTCTCCATAACTGAACAGCCATAAATACCATAACCTAAACAATGGATGTAGTTTCTATAAGGCTCGAAAAAAAGGTAGTCAAACCTCAAATCAAAACCTCATTTAGAAAACATGGGCATGCGAAATATCTATGATAGCTCTAAAATCAATTTCTACCACCAATTTTAAAATTATAGTTAAAAAAATGATACAAATCTTACGGATCCGTGAACACTATAATGGTCAAGGTCGAAATGAGATTTGATGGTTTTCTAAACCCAAATCTGTAAATTTCCATGAGTTTTGAGGTGAAGCTTTACTTATTTTGATAGATCTACAGCCCTGTCAAAACAAAGCACCATACATAAAAAAAAACCCCATTTCCCACCATTGGTCACATTTCCCATATCACAAAACCAAGCGGTTTGAGAGCTAAAATACCCCATTTCCCACTATCAAAGAATTGATTTCAATGATCCATACCTCATTCATTAATCGCCATTCTTAATATCAGTTATCTAAAATTGGCAATCCAACTTGGAATTGACCAAGCCATCCAGAGGTGGGTGATTCCAGATTGAGGCATCCAGAATCACCCCCATCCTCCTTACTATTTTTTTTTTCTAATTTCTTAGTCAATCTAAGTTGGAAATCGGACCGGACAAATCACATTCAGACTAGCAATTCAGGGCCTGATTCCTATTTTTGGATCACTGCTTAATATCACGACAAATGCCAATTTGATTCATAATCTCATTAATACAGCCTTCAAAAACTCAGCCACAAACATCCACTATAAAACTAAAAGACAATAAAGTTTAAAACAAGTGACTCATTGAAGTAAAGCAACATGATACCACGCACCCACACACAGAAAGAAACCAGGAATTTCTCGGCATCCCAATATTATGAATCCCTTGAATCCTCCTCTTTCATCTTCTTTTCCCATCTGCTCTTCTGAAAAGACATAATGACACAAGTTGTGAATCATCAGCACCAAAATCAACTAAGCCCAATTATAAGGTCAACATTCACAGTAAGACAAAAGTATAAGTTAAGCAAGTGCATCCATTTCTTATTGAGCATCTCAAATTTCCTACAACCATTCTCCAACATTTGAATCTCTTGTTAGGATGGACAAAGACATGAACCAGCCTGGTACTTGAACACAATTATAAATGCATAGTGCACATCAAACTGCGTCTTTCCATTTTCACGGCAAACAAACTATATGCTAGAAATCAATAACATTTATCACCTTTTAGCGAATCTCCAGCAACAAGAATCACAGGAGGATAACATAGAATTGAAGAGAATCAACATGCATGCAAGAGGGTGCGTGCACACACACAGCACACATGCACGTGTGCATGGGTACAAGTGAACATGACATGCCTTATTTAAGCACAGAAGCTTAAAAAAGGGGAAAGAAATGGACCATCCTGCCTATGGCAGGCAAATTTCCATAAGTAAATTTTTTTATCCCATTAAGCCCACAAGAAAGCTAACAATAATTTTTCACTGGAGAAAATGGGGTTTGAAAAACCTTGCCTAAGCACAAGAAAACTACCAACAATATTTGAAAACCAGGGCATGTTACTACAAACATATAAACAAGAACTCCCCAATCAGTGTAGTGGTAGGGATTTTCAAATAAACCCCAGCCATTATTTCAAGACAAACATGACCCAATGTCCACAACAAAGATAACAATGCCTCTACAAAGTCCTCTCAAGAAAAGCTAAATGACAGAGCCACTTCCAGAATAAATGACAATAGCTCACTTCCTGCTCGGTAAATCAATCTAAGAAGCTACAACATTATTGAGAAAAGTACTTTTTAGATGCCTTTAATCATAGGAATAAAGCCAAGGTAAGATGCATTAGAAACAGTGAGTACCCTACTTCTCTCAAAAACTCCTAAAAAAACTTCACCAGACTTTATTCTCCTTTTTCTCTGTCTCTGAATCAAGAGGGTTTCCACATCCCATCACTCTAACATACCAATCTCCTCAAACAAAAGCGCCTTCTAGTTCACAATATAACTGATTTTTTTTTTTTTGTTTTTGTTTTTGTTTTTGAAATTGGTCAAGAACAGAAAAACCATTTGTTCATTCAACTCGCCTAAGGTTCTATGACTTCCTCTCTAATTGTCAAATCAAAATGAGTCAACTGACTTAACACAGAGATTTGTAAATGATTTCAGATATAAAAAGGTTGTGAAGCCACTAGTCAGGAACCTTGTATCAAACCACAAAGGAAGGGCAAGAAATGACACCAGATGTGACCTTGAACAACCACTTCTAATGAGATTCTCACTCATGGAAATTCCAAGAGTCCAGGAAAAGGGCAGTTCCCTGCAAAAGGAGAATTTCCTTTGCCTAGTTCTTGGCAATCCACAAAAATGAGAAAAAACCATCAGGCTTTTAAGAGATTCCAATGCTTTCCTAATCATCACTGGACTTTTATTTCTTTTTCTTAGGGAGATTACTACAGCTTGCAATTTAGCTCCTTAGTTGATAAACTGTGGACCATAGTTCTCATAGTTAAAACATGCAATTGCCTTAGGAAGTTGGGAGCCACAAATTCAAGTTCAATCAGGACTCACCTTGTCAACTTACCAAATCAAGCAGGATATGGTAAATAGCATAGATAAATATTGAGAAAATATCAATCAAAGGGTCAAGTTAACTTAGAAATTCACTGAAAAGTGTAAAATAATCCTATACAACATTAGGAGTGTTGTTTTTTAAGTTTCATTTCACTAAGGTACCTCTTAAAAAGTAAAATAAAAAATGATCAAATTGCCCCCCTGTCAGGATTGGAAAACTTGAACAAGTGAAGGTATTCTAATAATTAGGCCCCACTTGAGTGGTCCATGAAAGTAAAAAAAATACCCCTGGTTGTTCAGAGTTAACAACATAAAACAAGGGTTTACAATGGCAATAGTGAGTTCCATGTTGTTAACCCTGAATGACCATGATTATTTTCTTCATTCGGCAATTCCAGATCACAAATGTTGAACAACTAGGGGTATTTTCATCATTTGGCTAAGTGCACTTAAGTGGGGCTCAATTTACCCAAATACATATGCTTGTAAATGGTTCCTAGGGGCAGTTTGGTCATTTTCACAATTATCTTTTTAAGAGGTATCTAAGTTAAATGAAACTTAAAAGGAACACTCCTAATATTAAATAGGATGGCTTGACAGCTTTATTGATTTTGTAAGGTAATTTGACCTTTTAATTTGTATTTTGCATAAATATTCAGTAGTTCTCACACAGGTGAACCTAATGCGCCTAGTCCTCATCAGGGATTGACTGTTTTAAGTTCATCATAGCTACATTTTCTACAACACTCCTACAATTCCAAGAAAGCAAATTGAGAAATTTAATTTGAAATTTGAAGTGCAAGTATGAGTCACTTAGAAGTAGGGAAACACTGGAAAATACCAACTCTCTTGAAGGAATTTCGCAAGGTCCTAAGAAATATTAGAAATCTGTTAAGTAAAGATCCTATTGAATTATATATCTCTCCAACCTCTTGCCCTGCCCTAATCGGCCATTAAACAAAAAAAAAGAATGATAGCACATAGATTCAAGGTTTAGATCCATCCAGATTAACAAATATGTGCCAATAAAACATAGCATTAGATCAATTATATCAACAATTCAACATACAGAATGATAGCACTGTAGGTATTATCTTGCCCCACAAAAAGCATCTTCTACACTCAAGAAATAAGATAATGTGCAGCAAAAACCATTCATACAAAACCGATAAGGCTCAAACTTGGTTGCCAATTACCTAATCAAATATACTCATCCATAGGCACTCCTAACCCATCTAAGATAGGACATCCACTCATTAAACGGAAAAAAACAAATATGGTAAACTAATCTGAAATACCTGCCTCTATGATTCTTTTAAGCACGACATATTCATTGAACAACTCAAATGTACATATATCATGAACGAGCCAAATTATTAAAAAAAAAAAAAGAAAAAAAAAGGGAAAAAGAGAGCCCTAGAAGTATCTATTAGACATATGGACCTAGATCAATGGTGGCAAGAGTACAAAGCTAGTCAATAGAAGATGTCTTTCTGCTATCCTCCAAAACATGTCCACTTCCTGTTCTAGGTCAATGTCCATCAGGGTATCCTTGCTCTTGCGATGCATACTAAATAAAGATATTCCCAAAATGACAGTGGTACCCCCATGATATTCTCACCCAACTAAACAAATGGACAGTTGGAATTCTACCTACATCCTTTCTATCATCACATCCACTCATGCACCACAGCATATTGCGGTCCCTTATGCAATCAGAAGCAGGATTGGTCATGCGCAGCCTGAACATCTAAAAGCCAATAACGAGCACTAAGGAAGGTTTGTCAATTGGATATCAACATACTCTTGTTAGAAACTTTTCTTTTATCTCTACCTATAGAATCATTAATTCATCATAAACCATCCTGCAAGTTGGTGACCCAGTACTCATCGCTTTGTTACCACCATTACTTTTCTTCCTACTGCACCTCTAGATATTCTTGAGTCGAGGGATTCCCTTTTTCATAGGGGCATGGCTTTTTTTTTTTTTGAGTGAAGGCAACAGGATTAATTATAATAATTAATAAATAGTTACAACTTTGAGCCCAATGTTAAATGGGGTCCAATTGTACAAATAGAGCCAAGAATAAACTTATGTATGCATAGAGAATTTACAGAGACAACATCATTCTCCTTTTCTAGTATCTTAACGATTTACTATTATTCATGCATTCCGTGAAAAATGAAAGTAGATCTTTAAGAACAACAACATATAGCATTGTAACATCCAAAACATGATAAATGAGATTTTTAGACATTATTTGTGGCCTGACCTAGAAGAATGACATCAAAATTACTAAATTTTCTATTACTACCTTGCTCATAAATCCCACTTCACAATGGAAAATTATGTCACAGAAAACATAACTGAATAGTCATAACAAGTGGTTATTAACCTTATCAAAAGAAAAAGAATAAGAAGAAAAAAGGAAAACCTCACCTTGTATTTCAGTAACATTTCTGGCATTTTCTTCTTAAGTTCAGCAGTTTTTGCCCTCCTAAACAAGAGAGAGGAAAGGGCGAAAGCCCAGTCAAATTTCAAAGAGTGGGAAGGCAAAAGACGAAGAAAAAGAAAAGGGCCAAATCCAATTCCATTTCCAAAGATAAAAGTTGCAAAGGCATCTAAATTCAACAAAAACAACAAATATATGACATCAAATAGTCTGATTCATACTTCTCTGCTGATATTCTATCGCACTTGTGACCCTTCCTCTTGCTCTCATTTCTTTTCTTGGTGAATCATATGGCCAATCCCTTGCATAGCCCAAAATTATTTCTCCATAATCACACAAACATGAAGAAGTTTTAGTGCTGCAATTTTAGGAACTCAAAGAGTTATTTAAAAAGGAAAAACATAGGAGATCTTAAAACTCAAATGCCTCAATTCAATTCATTTATGCTTCAGTCATGACAACTTCCAAGCAATTTAGAAACTCACCAAAAGAAAAGGTTTACCATGATTAACCCAAAACTAATCCAAACAGGAAATAATAGCACAAACTGAAAACAATATGTAAGGGAGAAAGAGGACAAGGAAGAGAGAAGGGCAATAAAAATATTGGGAAATAAGTAACAACGAAAAAAGCTTCAATTCATGGCTGAAATAAACTACTGAAAATCATATTAAACAAAAATAAAATGACAAACTTAAACTAGAGCTTAGCATATCCGCATTTTAAATCAACGGAATAAACCTGAAAGATCAACTGCGATGAACCTCAAATCACTTAAAAAAACAAAAATATAAACCCTAAAATAGAAAAAAAACTAGGGCAAACAAGTAAAAAGATCAACTGCAATGAAAGTAAAAAGATTAATAGCAAACAAAATCTGAAAAATCAAATACAAAAGTATAACTGTAACTAGGGCAAACAAGACACATACTCTCCAGCCAATAAAACTTCTTTCCTGACTCGTAGTCGATCTCTTGCACCAATAGCGAGAGGTTTCCACGAAAGAAAACTAATGCGATCTTGTTGGGGGAAAGAAAAAATTAATGCGATGTTCTTGCGGAAAGAAAGAATAATGCGATGAATATATAGATATATATATATATATATTTTTTTTTTCAAAAATCACTTACAAATAATCTTATTACAGTAAATCTTGCTTAAAAGAAATTATACTACCAAATCCTATTACAATAACTCTTTGTTCAAAGAAATTAAACTAACAAATCCAAAATCTTAAAAACCTTAATGTCATAAAACCAATTTTTTTTAAACAAAGAAAATATCTATAAGTTTTATGCTTGGGAATATAAAGACAATATAATTAAATATGACGAGAGTGTTAGAGATTACTTCAACCGGGCTTATTACACCCCACACTGAGTCACCACCATCCGATGGCGCGGGATCAATGATCAACCTTTAATTTCAACTAGAAAGGCAAATTTAGGCCAAGCCACACTAATAGAACATGAACCCTTTTGATCACAAACTCAAACCCTAAGTGAATTCCCTTAACAACCTAGTGTGATCAAACCCTAAGTGAATTCCCTTAACAACCTAGTGTGATCAAACCCTAAGTAAATTCCCTTATCAACCTAGTTTGAGAGAGATGAATTCTCTTTTTGTTATTCTTTCGTAATGTGAGAGAGAGATCAAAGATGGGTGCTCGTTTGTGGGATATGAGAGAGAAAGATGAGAATTAGGTACAAGAGATAAGGTGTAGAGATTTTTAGGTAGAGACAATCCCCTTTTTATAGGCTTTAAATAACATTAGAGTTTCTTTAAGGTTTTCTTTGGCTTGCCTCTTTTTGTGAGATTGAATATAAACTATTTCCATCAATACAAATTAAATAAATTAATCTAATCAAAATATTGTGCATACCATAAAATAGCACAAGTCTACTTAATATTTCCACAAAATCTTTCAAAGATATATCAAGTCAATATCTTTCAACCATATGGCCACATGCCATATCACAAGAAAAAAAATAGGAAAGAGAATAAGGGTGGGGCATGCCACCCAAGGGAGGCACTCATTGGCCCCACCTTCTAGAAATATGGTAGGCCCATGTGCACAATGGGTTTAGAATATTATTTGAATATTTAAACCATTATAAAATCAATATCTTTAATTTTATAAATCCAAAAATTATAAATAAAATATCAAAAGACTCATAAAAATTCATATAATAATTTCTATCATAAAACAAACATAATTAAATTAATTTGATGGGAAATAGATCCATATGGTTTAGGAATTTAATCTGCAATCATGGGGCACTCCACCTTCAATTGTGGATTACAGACCACACTTGCTTTATCGAACCGACCCAGTGTTTCCCATGACCCACAAGGTCACACAATTCCTCGGTTCACTCATCTGGGCATGTTCTCCGACGTCATCAAGGGCTAACCCATAAACCTTCATCGGTTTGTTCTTCATGCCCAGGTAACATAGGTATTTCCCAATCTACTGACCTAGATCGTCAAGCACAGATCGGTATCAGTAAATCATCGTTTGCTTAGTGTAGTCCACAAGGGACCACACTCCCATTGAGTTAATGTTCCACTATATCATTTCATTTACAAGCACTCATAAGGCTTTTAAAGACCACATAAACCCTATATTCTATGCCCCAAGGTACCAATATCCCCACTCCCTTTGAAATCTCGTCTTTGTGCTTTCCATGGATGACCCCCCACTGGTTTCTCTACTAAACTTGTAGATGAATTTGTAGAGAGTTTTGAACCATTTAAAGCCGATTTTACACCCATTTTTGTTGCATTTACAACAAATTTCGCAGCTTTTGCAACCATTTTTCTGAATCGCACCTCCTTTCTTTTGGTTTATTATTTCGTTCGCAGGGCAATTCAATATATGCATCGCTTACATGGCTAGTGTGTTTTATTGGTCGATGGTGCTTTAACAAAGGAAAAAATTATATAAGGTTAGACACTTTAAAACGTAGGATTAAGGTGTATCTCTAAAATTTATATCTATTTCAAACATGCTTAGGACTTGGATTGCTTTCTGGCTATCTCTATTTTTGACCACAATGTCGATGTTATCGAAGGAACGAAATGACCGAGTTTTTCAAGGGAAGGTTTCTAGATGGGAGTACTTGCTCAGGAGGATTACCTCTCATGTTAGTAAATTAGCATATGCTAAACCCTGGTCTTTTCATTTATGGAGAGAAAGCAATGCTAAACCCTGATCTTTTCATTTATGCAGAGAGAGCAATCATTGATAACCTCTAGATTACATGGTGACAACATCAAATCAAGCATCACATATCAATTGAATAGTCTTTTCCTATTCCAAATTATTTTAAATTAAATATTGATGGTGCTTCACTTCAAAACCCTGGACTTGCAGGTAGTGAGGCTAGGGGTGGCAATAGACCTGAACCCCACCTGGGACCTGTCGAGAATATCCAACACGGGTCCGGCTATGTGTCCAACATTTGGACCCCACGGGTCGGGTCTGGGTCCAAACTTGGACTCGAACATTATTCGGGTCCAGTTGGACCCAACTCGCACCCATAAGCTGTTGGAGATAAAATATTCCAATCCCTATTCGTTTGGGTATATTAAGGATCATATATAATAAGAACTCGTAGTCATCTTTAGCTATTAAACGACAAATCAGACGGCTTGAAATATAATGGTGGGTGATTGTGACCTTATTACCAATAATATGGATATATGATGGTAAAAAAATAGCAAATAAATAAAAATCTCATAGTGAGGGTGGCAATGGACCTGACGGCACAGACCTAGGACTCGATGGGCATAGGTATGGGTCCAATTTTTGGACCCGATAGGATAGGTCCGGGTCCAAAACCTGAACCTGTATACTATTCAGTTCTAGGTCTAGGTCCAGCCCGGCCCGACCCCTCTCGTTGTCACCCCTATTTGAGGTGTAATTAGAAGTGATGATGAATCCTTCATCGTCGCATTTGGTAATCCCCTTGGTAAATAACTATGCAGAGTTTCTAGTCTTGTAAGTTAGCATTAACCTGACCATCCAGCTCAAATGTTTCCCCATGCAGATTGAGAGCGATCCCGTAGTGTCAATTAATGCAATCCATAATCAATGCAATGATCAATAGGTGCTAAGTGTTGTTGTTGCTAATTGTCGATATAAGCTCTCCGATCATGCTTGGTCCTTTACCCACTTTTATTGTGTGGCTAACATGGTGGTTGATTTACTTGCCAAGAAAGCCACAACTTTTTTAGATGCCACTGTTTGGCGTTCTAAAGTGCTGGATTTTCTTTCTGTTACATTACTTCATGATGTGGCACAACTTCTCTATTCTAGGGCTATAAAATTATAAGCTGTATTTTCTTTTTTTGTTAATGAAAATCGGATAGGTGGCCTTCTCCCTCATTGACTTACTAAAAAAAAGAAGAAATGATGTATCTCTAGAATCCTTTTATAAGGGCTGTTTTGATGTTGAAAAAACATCTAAATTGATCATTTCTGAGATGTATAGGTACGGAGAAAAAAAGAGATTCAAAATCCCATGTATATCTTGCAACATATTTTATGAACGTTCTATTTTCGATATTTTTATGTGTTTATAGATTCGCTTGATTTGAACTATTTCAAAAGTTTAATTTTTTATAATTAAAGATAAAATTAGATTATTGCACATCGTAAGAATGTTAGATACCAAAATTGCATCTCATGACAAAGTTTGGAAATGCACCTTGTTTAAGGTTGCAACCTTATGCAAACCACACCCTTTATTTAAGGACGTGCATCCTCTTGTCCGTGGAGGAACCAAAGTACCCTTGGGGGTACTTGCATTTATTGTAAATGAAAAAGTTTAGAAAATTTATTTGGTGAGTCAGCCGCATCACCTATTCTTGTGCGGTCTCCCTCTAAAATCATAAAAATTGAAATTGATCCGAAGTTTTAGACAAATCTCAACTATGACGATGCTTGTGAAATATGAATTTTTTTAATGAAAAATATAATATAGTATTTTTTGTACAATCTTTTTTTTTTAGGTAATTCAGTAGGGATGACGAGCCCCTACCCGTTTTTAAGTCGTTAGTGGTTTTTGAATGCGTTAGGTGAGAATGAAAGCCTAGACTTTAGCTGGGACACAGGTATTGCGACCACCACTACCCCAACCCATTCTCAAAAGTATTTTTTCTACAATCCACTTTAACTTTTTGTGGATGCACCGTGTTTTGATGTCCATCTTAAAGATGGTCGTTTGATGCATGAGTGACTGCACACCAAAATTGTGTCCAAAAGTTTATATAAGGTAGGAATATTATATTGTAGAAGTAAGGTGTACCTCAAACATTTACTAAAAAGTAAAAAGCATTGTTTTAGTATTCAAAAAATCTTTCAATTGATCATCTCGATCTTGAGATTTATACCTATGAAAGAAAAAGTAGATTCTAAGTCTTCAAAAAAGTGCATCTTATAACACATTATCTAGACCATATATTTTCAAGATTTTGAAGTATTTATAGATGTGCTTAATCTGTTCCATATTTGGAGCTTTGAATTTCATAATGAGGGTCAAAATAGATTTTTAGGCTATCATAAGAGTTTTTGGGACCAGGATAACCTTTCCAAATGGATGTTTCAAGTGCACCTTACTTCTATAGTATGACGTTGGCACCTTATACAAACTGCATCTATGATGTCTTTATAATTCTAAACTTTGTGCTGGTAGATCTTCAATTTGGCCATGGATGGATGAAGGCTATTCTTTGCTTGGACGTAAATTTTTTAGAATTGAGTGATCTTCGAGAAATCAAGATCATACCTTACAGGGTATATAGGGCTCTTTTTCTATAAAACTATTATTTTGTTTTCTTGGCACGCTACTTATCTACGAAACAAGTGTTTTAAAACCCAATGATTTGCAATCCAGATCACCAATTTGGATGAAAATCAATTGGTATCGATCCGTTTCTATGATGGTATAGGTCCTATCTTGGTTCCCCCTAAAACCCTCTGTCTATAATTTTTTCTCCTTTTTTTTTAAAAGCATATCTAATGCTTTTATCACCTTAAATCCCCATCCATAAATCCCTATTTTAAATTTATTTATAGTTTTAGATTACACATTCAGAATGATCCAGACCTGATCCAAATCATCAATTGATCTATTTGCCATGGACCTTTGGGTGAACAATATTCCTCATATATTCGAGTTTTAAAAAACTGTATACGACCAGCATGAAAAAACTACTTGATCAATTGAAATTTATCTCCCACAAGCCAAACATACTAGAAGAGTATCGTGTTTCTTCTCAAGACTCCTCAACCATTTGATGATTTTGAGTTTGAATGTGGGGAATCCCCTACCCTCAACAGACCTTTGTTCATATTGGAGAGTTGAGCTGCTAGTATAGAGTGTTTGTGATAGGAAAAAGTTTATATAGAGCCAAGTCTCAAAACAATCAAATTAGAGTTTTCTTCAAAATTTTCACTAGAAGAAGTTGTTCTGATGCTCAGATATCCTCAAATTGATCATCTCGACATCTAGATGAATGGACATGAGAAAAAAATAGATTTCAAATTTTGGAAATAGTGCATCTTGTAACACATTTTTGGACCATAAATTTTCAATTTTTTTATAGATTTGCTCGATCTACACTATGTTTAAAACTTGAAATTTGTAATTAATTATGAAAATATATTTGAAGGGTATCATAAAGATTTTCATTATTAAAACCATATTTCTGGACACTATTTGAAGGGGGACTTTACTTTGATTGTTTAGAGCCTCCGCCCTATATAAACCGTACATTTGACGACGCTAAACTTTTCATTGTTTTTACCTGGGACGTACTACAAGCCATATAGCATTGAAGTTCAACCATCTTCGTGGCTCCCTCCCATGGAAGTGGTGCTTCTCATTGAATTCTTGGCCATGTTCAATTTTTATTTATATTTTTATATTTGTTATATCAACCCGAGATGACTTTTGAGGATGAGTTTTTTTAGTTGAAGTGAAAAATATAAAAATATTTCGTAACAAAATATAATGACCAAAACAAAAGTATAAAAATCATAATAAAATATAATAACCAAAATGCCCTTGATATTTTAGAGGTATATTAACCATTTTAATATTTTGATATATGATTGTGAGTGAGAAGTATTGATAACCAATTTTTTAACTCAATCCGATATGCAAATATATATGTAGGGATTGTATATAATGAATAGGGAGGTCACAATTACTTATAACCATCCGACGTGAAATCTAATTATTTGAATGTGTCATAAAGTTCGAAAAAAAATCTTTTGATCTTTGAACTTGGTCAATGAAATAAATGCACCAACCCAATTTTACATCCAATGGTCAAGATTATTGTGATCCTGTACCAAAAGTAAATTGTCTCATTATTATATATATATATATATATATATATGGGAAAAAATCTTCACAATGCCTCTAGGCAAAAATATACAGTGCTTTCGCCCCCAACAGTCCGTTCAAACAAATTGAATGTAGGAAAACTCATCGCAATGCCTCTAGGCGGCGAGAATATATAGTGCTTTCGGCCCCACCCTATCGACCGTCCATTCAAACAAATTGAAGTGAAGGGCCATAATTAGCTGAAAACACTCCGCGCGCAAAATGCCGTTGACTCAAAAAGCTTGAAACCTCAAAAAATTTCCATTTGCTCTTCTTTCCCGTTTCCTCTCCTCAACGACCTCCCTCTGTATGAGGCTTCCCTCTCTCTACGAGACTCCCCTGATGGCTTGTCCTCTTCTCTTCTCTACTATGTGAAGTGAAGGGCCATTCTTTCTCGTTCATCCTCTCCCCTTTCTGTGAAGCACGAACGTGGTCATCTCTGAGAAGCTTCAGTTCTGCTACAGACGCCACACACTCCTCCTCTGTTTAGAGCATCAATCGGGTGAGTGACTATCCCAAGCCACAATCTAAGCCTAATTCATGAATTTTTTTACAGTAGGTGAAATCTCTCTATTACTCTTGTAGAAAACTCAAATTTTTTCCAAAAACCTATCCAAAACCATATGTTTTTATCCTAACACCCTACTCTTTTTTCTCAAAACCCAACTTTTTAATGTTTCATTTCAGCGGTTAAACGGATCTTACCTTTTCCCTCTTCTGTGCCAACTCAATCAAGGTACCTACCTTTTCCCTCTCCTATGCTAACTCAATCAAGGTATGTGTGCTTTTTAGGCCCTTTTACCCAATTTTTTTCTGAATTAAATCACAAAAACAGAGAAAACAATGGTTAAATTGGATTTTATTACTTTCTTTTATCATTGATTCTAAAAGAAAACTGAATTAGATACTTATAAATGGGTTTCACTACACAAATTTTTATTATTTGGATATTGAAATTTTAATACAATTATTTGGTTTTTTGTGATTCTTTTATTCTCTATTTTACAATGCCACTTTTTCTTTTATTTTTTAAACAAATTTCGGTTCAGTATTCATTTCTTTGTTCTGTGATTTTTTTTGTTAGGAATTTTAATTTGAGAAATGGAGTTTTTGGTCATATTCATTTAATTTCTTCAGTCGCCTCCATGTATTCTATTTGTTCTCTTTTGGGGAAGTGGGTTCATGTCCAATTGGCTAGTGAGACTGATAGAAGTTATTTGGGCATTATTTCATCAAAATGCGGGGAGGGGTTCTTGGGTGTTTTCAGAAGATTATATTTAGAGTTCTCAATTGTTTTGCCCGGTCCAAAGCATTAGTTGCAATTGGCACATTTTCAGATTGAATGCGAAGCATCGAAGGTCATTTGGTTTAATTTTTTTTTTTTTTTTGATTTATCAATAATTATTGAAGACCTCTTAGTTAAAATAAATTTGAAGGTGTCTTGGCTATATATGTGTATAAAATTGGTTATTTGTATCTAATAAAAACCCCCACTAAGGGATTGGTGAAAATATGGGCAAAGGGCATTGTTCTCGTTTTCTTTGTTTTCTTGTGAGTGGCCCTATTTTCTTTCTTGGAGAAATTTTATATAACGAAACGTGTTAAATAATTATGATTACACGGTTGATTATTAAAAGTTCTTGTTCTTTTTGCTCTGAAGTGCATGAATCTGGTGAGTTCTTGCTTGTTGCTGCCAGAGCCACTTACGCAGTTCTTCAACAAACAAGGTGAGTTCTTCCTTGCCTTCTCTCTCTATGCCACACACACAGTTATTCTCTGTTGCCCAACCCACAATATCTCAATAATGTATATTACAATTGTTAGGCAAATTACTTTCTCAAAAAACATTTCTTAGGCAAATTAACTTGGATTTAGAATAACATGATTTTCCGGCCTCATTTTATGTATAAAAGTAAAATGAACTTTTTTTTTGAATGTTGCACTTTTTGAAGTGCAGCCTCCCAATATAGAGGAGCTCTATTATAGCAAGGTTAGGCGTTTAGTAGGGTTGGGTAGGACCAACCAGGGACTCCAAAATACAATCCTCGAGGTTACGAGGGTGCAGACAATGTGGTAGGCCACCCACACCACATCCCATCATTAATGCTGAATTGCTTTAGTATTCATTGTTGTGCTATTTTTTCCAATTAACATTCGGTTTTATAATATAGTGGGAAGACATCTACCGTAGCACAGAGCTCTTGAGAGATGGTATCTGATCCAAGAACTGGGATTTGGCCACTGAGGCATTCGGCTACCTATCAAAGTATTTTCCAATCCCATTGGAGGATCCCCAGAATGACAATGCGAATGATGATGTACTAGGGACATTGGAGAGAGTAGCTCCCGATCGGAGGATCAGATCCCTACACAGCCTATTCCTATGCCAACGCGAACGGAGGAGGTTGGACGAGTATACTATGCTTGTGTCATGGATGCCTCAACATCAACATCTCCTTCCTCTCCTCTCAACATTACTAATTCAAGAAATGGGCAGGAGTGTGGTGCTCATGCTATAGTGGATGAAGCTTGCCATGATTGTCCATTTGATGAGGACATAGTTGCAATAAATAGAGAAGGAGATCCTATACTTATAGAAGTTCAGGTAGCCCTAGCAAGACATGCAAGTGTCGAACCGGCAATAGGAATGCTATTTATTGACGAAGCTGAAGCTTATGATTATTATAATAAGTACACAAAATTGGTAGGGTATGTAAAAGACCTATTTATAGAGCATGTAAAGGATTTGATTAATTTTTTGAATTTTGGAGACATGTAAATACCTCTTTTTGTAGTTAACTTTGGGGGTTATGTGAATATTCAATATTTGTGTAATTTTGAAGGCATGTAAAAGACCCCTTTATGAGGGCATGTAAAGGACCTCTTTATGGGGCATCTAAAGAACCTATTTGGTGACTTTTAGTAACATATGTGTGACGTTTATTTCTTTTCCATGTATGTGCAATGTGGGTTTACTTGGACAATAAAATGCATTTATATCCCCGTAGTTCTCACTGTATTTTATTTTTTATGCCAAGCATTTAATATGTTCTCACCTTTTACCATACGAGAGAGTGTGTAGAATAGCTTTATAACCATCACGGACCTGCTTTGAATAACCAGCTCTCTCTTATAGGCCTTGTTTCATTGTAGCTGATAACCAGATCTCTCTCTCTCTCTGTTTATGTGTCTACAAAAAAAAAAAAACCATAAACTGAAAAAAAAAAAAACAACAACCCATATACTGAATAATACTAGAAACTAGAGAATTTCATTCACAAAAGATTACCATTAATTAAACAATGACCAATTACAATCATTTACAAACCACTGGAAAGATACAAGGAGGTTAAACCCCTCATGAAATAGGGAAAACCAGATACAAATGAAGCTTCAAAAAGTTAAACCCAATTGAGCTGACTCACCACCAACTAGTAATTTTTTTTTTTTGCTTCTTCAAGTTTCACTCTTCCATTCAAATGATGCAGCAAAGGCCGTCTCCTTTGAGCATGTATTCAATCGTCTTATTGATCTTTGAGAATGAGACTGAATGTGTGATGAACTTCTCCACGTGACGTGTACCTTTTTTATGTATTTGTTGATAATAGATGGAAGATCAGAATGTAGCTTATAGTTTCCAAAGAATGTTCATTTGAGAGTCCTTTCATTGAGCACATTCATGGGGTGTATCTTGAAATTGCATCCTTGTGAAGAACCCCAACAAGCACAGTTACACTGCATCCTTCTACATGTATTTACGGTACATGACCATAATTTTTTTAAAAAAAGAAAAAGAAATAAGTGCCATAAATAACACATATGAAACAAGCACCGGAAGCACAAAATAGCAGCAGGAGTAGGGGTAGAAGGGAAGGATAAGCATTTTCCAAAAGATCTACAGCTTAGAGAACCAGATTGTCATAAAAGAAAGTCAACATATATGCATCTAGGCACACTATTGTGCAAATGTATAGTTACATACAAAATCTTCATGAGTTGTATTCATGACTTCGACAGAGTCACTGTTCCAATCTATTGGCATCGAGTGGACAATAGACATGCAGCCTACTCCAAATACTCATGGTAGGGGCAATTTTAAATAGGGAGCCACAACCTATGTACTAACGATACTAGATTCAAGTCATCATCAATTCTTTGTGGCTATTTGGAAGCATTTCAGAAATTCAGAGAGATATAACATACTCTATTACACTTTTCATTAATAGTTGTTGTACATTGTAATAAAAAGAGAAACAAATAATATCATCATCATCAACATCCAAACCTTACCCCAATAGTTTGGGGTTGGCTAGAAGACATATTGTACTCTCTAAAAGAAAATAATACTCACAACTTCAACAATTTTGACACGTTACTGTAGGAGGCTGGAATGTGGCTACCAGTGAACTAGTTATTATCAAGTTGGCTACAAAACAAATTAGAAACAAACATTATATACTTGAATGCAAAAAATATGTGAATGGATTTCACATCTTTAAGAACTACTTCTAAGCAATCCACCATCTAGAGGGGTACAAGAATGTGTAAATGATTGTACACATTGTGTCATTAGTATGAAGAGAATAACATTATCAGTTCACATTAAAAGATTAAGGCCAGAACTTAAAAATATCTATTAATATACGCTACCTGGTCATTCTCTAACCTCAATTATGCAGCTGAATCAAATTGAGATTTCACATGAGAAACTTGAGATGGAGAATATCTAGGTTTGTTGTTCATCAAAAAAGATAATTTATAACTAAAAAAGATGATATATCGTTTAAAAGAGATATTATAATATGGTCAATGGACTTTAAAAAAACATAGTCATGTAGATCATGATGGTAAGATGAAATGAGAACAGTGAAGGAGAAAGGTGTGAGACACACCAAAACAGAATGTGAACGTCACTAGTGGGTTCCATTGTAACTCCATCCATGCATCATTAATTTGAAGATACAAACCCAAAGGACTAATACTTTCTTCGGATCATTGGACAATATCGCACTCTTTTAAATAAAAAAAGGGGTACGCTAAGAATACCATAATCGAGTTGAGTGGAGTATGCTATACTGTAATCCAAAGGAGCATCTCAAGTCCTTTATTGATGGCAGACAATGGATACTAGCCATACTAGGGATCACTGTATGCAGTTGAAGTCCAACCCCAGTGGATGCCCCTTCTGAGGTACTAGGTGTGATACTCCATTGGATTTTGCTAAAGTTTCTAGTTTAAGTATATATCAAATTTTTTAATAAATAATAATTGTTAAAGGAAACAGAGTATGATAAAATCGCTAGTATAAGTAGATGTCTAAATTTTTAATAAATTATAAATTCTTACATAAATGAGATCAATCACATCCTTACTTGCTGATGGTATGTCACTTGAAAGATGACTAGTTGCAAACTGCATTTCATCACAAAAGACATATCATTGTGTTAATCTTCTACTAGTGCTTGGAAAAAATAAATTTATGTTCCTCCTAGCTAAGGATTTAAGTTTGACTTTCAAGAATTCATTAGGAGATCAAAGTAAGAAGATGTTCAAAGCATCCAGCTCCTACAAGTCTACACTAGACACAGATTTCCAAATACTTTGTCTAAAATGAAAAGTATACTACAATCCATTGAACTTTTACAAACCATACTCCTATGGGTTCAACCATTCTCCATTGAAATGAGGATAAATGATAAAGATCAAAGATCGGAAAGGACAACACAAGGAATGGGCCAAATGGTGGGTCCCACTCTCTCCATCACCATCTGCCATTTCAAATGAAAGAAATGACCAGAATGGACTATGAATTTTCAAGGTTAATGGAATTAGAGGGTATTTTCCCATAGAAATGTGTGCTCGAATATATAATAAATGGCTACAAAGTCAGAGTCATACTGAGGGAAACTGATAGCTTAAGGAATCTTCTAGCCGTAACCTTTTGCCTCACTACATACAAGTTCAAAAGCACTTCCAAGTTTAATCTAAATGAAAACTCAATAAATTAGGACATACCAAGTGGCACAAGATTTGAGTTGATATGATACCTTAAACCGGGAAAGAGGGGGTGTAGAGTAAACAATTATGCTAAGATAGCACTAATGGCCCATATATCTGATAACAAAAAAATGGTGGCAGCCAATTAGAAGGGTAAAACGAGTGGTACGATAATAGGTAATACATAAAATAGGAGAAACTCCATGTGGTTGATTGTTTTCTCCCGCTTCAAGCCACGATACAATGAGTAATAAACTGATCTTGGTGGTGGAAATTATATTGTAAACTGATCGTGTGTGGCATAGAGAGAGAGGGACAGAGAAGAACTGCGTGTGTGGCACAGAGAGAGAGGGCAAAGAAAAACTCACCTGGTTTATTTAAGAACTGCGTACGTGGCTCTGGCAGCAAGAAGCAAGAACTCACCAGATTCATGCACTTCAGAGCAAAACGAACAAGAACTTTTAGTAATCAACCATGTAATCATAATTATTTAACACGATTCGTTATATAAAATTTCTCCATGAAAGAAAACAGGGCCACTCGCAAGAAAAAAAGAGAATAGGGAGAACAAGGCCCTTTGCCCCTATTTTCACCAATTCCTTAGTGGGGGTTTTTATTGGATACAAATAACCAATTTTATACACATATATAGCCAAGGCACCTTCAAATTTATTTTAACTAAAAGGCCTTCAATAATTACCAATAAATAAAAAAAAATAAAATAAAATAAAACCAAATGACCTTCGATGCATCGCATTCGATCTGAAAATGTGCCAATTGCAACCAATGCTTTGGAATGGGCAAAACAATTTAGAACTCTAAATATAATCTTCTGGAAACACCCAAGAAACGCTCCCCGCATTTTGATGAAATAATGCCCAAATAACTTCTATCAGTCTCACTAGCCAATTAGACATGAACCCACTTCCCCAAAAAAGAACAAATAAAATACATGGAGGCAACTGAAGAAATTAAATGAATATGACCAAAAATTCCATTTCTCAAATTCAAATTCCCAACAAAAAAAATCACAGAACAGGGAAATGAATCTGAACCCAAATTTATTTAAAAAATAAAAGAAAAAGTGGCATTGTGAAATAGAGAATAAAGGAATCACATAAAACCAAATAATTGTATTAAAATTTCAATTGAAAGTCGGGCATTATTTTTTCAGCTATATTCATTGCAACTTCTTCAAGTTATAGATCTAAATAATAAAAATTGTGTAGTGAAACCCATTTATAACTATCTAATTCAATTTTCTTTCAGAATCAATGATAAAAGAAAGTAATAAAATCCAATTTAACCATTGTTTTCTCTGTTTTTGTGATTTAATTCAGAAGAAAATTGGGTAAAAGGGCCTAGAAAGCACACATACCTTGATTGAGTTAGCACAGGAAAGGGAAAAGGCAGGATCCGTTTAGCTGCTGAAATGAAACATTAAAAAGTTGCGTTTTGGGAAAAAAAAAGTAGAGTGTTGGGACAAAAATGTAGGGTTTTGGGTAGGTTTTTGGAAATAATTTGGGTTTTCTACAAGAGAAATAGAGAGATTTCACCCACTGTAAAAAAATTTCATGAATTAGGGTTAGATTGTAGCTTGGGTTCAAGAGAAAAAAATCAAGATAATCACTCACCCGATTGATACCCTAAACAGAGGAGTCTGTGGTGTTTGTGGCAAAACCAAAGCTTCTTAGAAAGAGAAGAGGATGACGGAGATGACCGTGTTCGAGCTTCTCAGAGAGGGGATGGGATGAACGAGAAAGAATGACTCTTCACTTCACATAGCAAAGGAGAGAAGAGGACAAGCCAAGAGAGGAGCCTCGTAGAGAGAGGGAAGCCTTACAGAGAGAGGGAGGTCACAGAGGAGAGGAAATGGGAAAGAAGGGTAAAAGGAGATTTTTTGAGGTCTGAAGCTTTTTGAGCCAATCAGGGGCGTTTCGTGGGCGGAGTGTTTTTAGCTAATCGGGACCCTTCATTTCAATTTGTTTGAACGGACGGTCGATAGGGTGGGAGCGAAAGCACTGTATATTCTCGCCTAGAGGCGTTGTGAAGACCTTTCCATATATATATATATATATATATATATATATATATATATACTACGTACGTACTACTAACTAACTAACTAATACGACGACTAACTAACCTAAAACTTAACTAACGTAAAGTTAGGTTAGTTTTAGTACGTA